AGTGATCTCATTCATGCTGATGAATTCTCAGATTTATAGCTCTATCCCAGATCTTTTTTTTTTTTTTTTAGAGACAGAGAAAGAGAGAGAGAGAGAGAGCATGTGCATGGAGGGGCAAAGGGAGAAGGAGAGAGAGAATCCCAAGCAGGCTTCATGCACAGCGCAGAGCCCAACCCTGGGTTGGATCTCACAACCCTGAGATCAAGAACAGGCTGAAATCAAGAGTCACTTAACTGACTGAGCCACCCAGCACCCCTCCGACTCAAATTATCTATCTATCTATCGATCGATCGATCTACCTACCTATCTGTATCATCTATCTCCAACTAGATGTCACAGAATTGTCATAAATACATGTGTAAAATTTTATCTGTCACCATCATTTATCATCATCTATCTCCAACTAAATGTCACAAGATTGTCATAAATACAAAGGTCTAAAATTATATTCTTGATCTCTTTACCTATCCTCCCCAGTCTGGTCCACCTTTAGATTTCCCCAACTCAGAAAATGGCACCTCCATTGCTTGGCTGCTAAAATCATAAATTTGGTGGTCATCCTTGAAATCTCCCACCTCCTCCCCTTTCAATCCATCACAAGTTACATTTTTATTTTTATATATTTCTTGAAGCCAGCAGCTATGCTTCGTCTTCACACTACCATGGCACTGGTATATGCCACTATATTCTTCACCTGGAGGACTATGATAGTCTCCTAGTCTCTCCACATTCATTCGTTCTTCTACTTTAATCTATGTAGTGAGTGATCATTTAAAAATATATTGTATTATGCCCCGTCTCTGCTTAAACAGGTTAATGCCTGTTGCTTCCCTCTTCATCTTCAGCTTGAATCCTTCTCCCTTCGCTGTATACCCCAGCCCCAATGGCTGCCTCCCTCCTATGGGTTGAGAGTTCCCTGCCCCATATCCTTTATATGTTACATTCTGCTTGGAATTTTTTACTTCCACAATCCTTCTTTTCCCCATCTCTCCCAACTTCTATTAATTCTTTAGTCTATTTTTAAGTGTCATAGAGACAGAAATTAGAATGGCAGTTGCCAGGGGCTGGGGGATGGGGGAGAATGGGGAGTTACTATTTAGAAGGTACAGAGTTTATTTTATAAGATGAAAAGGCTTACAGAGAAAGATGGTGGTGATGGGTGCACAACACACTGAATGTATTTAATCCCACTGAACTGTACATTTAAAAATGGTTAAGATAGTAAGTTTTGTTATGTATTTTATCATAATAAAAAAATCGATCTTCAGGAGGCAACTCAGATTCATGTGCCTTTTAATTCATGTGCACCAGTCTCTGAGGTCCTGAGAACAATGAACCTATGGGCCCTCAGACTTGAGCTCAGGCCCTGGACCACATTCATTCACTAATAAATATTACCCAGGACGCTTTGTTGGAGACAACCTTGCAAACCTTTTTCCTTAGTGACGCTTGGCAGCATTACTGACTTAAGCTTATCTTTTGTGTGTGTGGGGGGGGATATCTGTGCTGAGTAATTCAGGAAGTATTGCCAAATTTTTGCCAGTTATTAAAGATAGCTGTTTCCAAATACAGTTAGCATCTGCATGTGCCACTAAGGAGATTAGCCAGACTAGGGTAATTTCAGGCTAGGACTTCAAAACTGTTCAATCAGGTCCTTTCCTGCAACTGGATTTTATAAGCTTGGGAAGTTCTATTGATAGTATGCTAATGGGCCCAGAACCAAATGGACAAAAGTACTACAGAACTGAAGTGTTCTTTTTTTTTTTTTTTTTGAGAGAGAGAGTGCGAGCTTGACCAGGGGTGGCGGGTGGTTGCAGAGGAAGAGAGAGAATCTTGAGCAGGCTCCATGCTGGGCATGGAGCCTCACACAAGGCTCAATCCCATTACCCTGAGATCATGACTTGAGCTGAAACCAAGAGTTGGACACTTAGCCGACCAAGCCACCCAGGTGCCCCAGAATTGGATTCTTAATAATAAACCTTAGTAAGGAATGTATTGTCTTTCTACATGCTAGGGACTATGCTGTTGTAATGTTGTTTCATTCCATTCCCATCACAACTCTATAAAGCATGGCTATAGGTTATCAACCCCATTTTATAGACTGGGAAAACATATCTTAAAAAGATTCTGAAGCACAGTTAATAAGTGCTGGGCTGGGATGTGAACCTCCGTCCACCTGACTCCAGAGCTTGAGCTCATAAGCACTACAAGAGGTTGCCTTCTCCTGACTTGCTCATGCAGCTAGTTGCTGCGGTGTCAACTGCCTTGTTTAGTGGCCCAAATCCCTATCCTCTAAGTCTGATTTATGTCGTGATAATAATGCCAATGGGTCATCAAAGTATATGTTTGGACATTATTCATTAATTTATTCAACAAAGGTTTTCTGAGCACCTTCTATGATGTAGATTCTAAGGAATGCAGACAAAAAAAATACAGCCCCTTCTCCCCCAGAAGCGAGCAGTTTTGTGGGAAACAGCAGATAATCACATATACACAATACAACATGAGCAATGCTGGAAGAGGAGGACTGAGTCTGAGAAATCAAAAAGGGGTGTCACGGAAATGTAATGTGATCCAACTCTTGAAGAGCAGATTTTCTCTGGGCAGATATGCAGGAGGAGAAAGAAAAGGGCAGAGGAAACAATGTGCAAAGACTGGGGGGAGGGGCATCTATATCTCAGTATTATAGGAACACCCATCATCGTGGGGAGGGGGCAGCATTTCAAGGAACCAAGCCAAAGAGGTCACAGGCAAAGGGCCAGACCACATCGGATTTTTATTCTACTCAGAGCTCTTTTGAATAGGAATAAAAACCAAGTCAAACTAGCTGCAGGAATGAAGTTTGACCTTTTAGGCTCAAGTGCCTGCTCCCAAATGACTGTGGTCTCTGTGTCTCTTAATTCACATTCTCGAGAAAGAGAATCTGATCAGTCACTGATCAATCATTGAGTCAGGTGTCTGTCCCTCCTCTGCCTGGTAGAATGACCCAGGTGTGTGTGTGTGTGTGTGTGTGTGTGTGTGTGTGTGTTTGAATGTGAATGTGGGAAGCTAGCACTGGAGATTTTCAAGTTTAGGATCCCACGGTAGGAGTGTAGGATAATGTCTCAGGAATAACGGATGGGAAGGTTTCCCTAAGAGGCCTGTGAATGAGAAAGGCAATAAAGTCAATCTAGAATAACATCGTGGGCCATGGAGAAAAGTCTATTCTTTAGTAGACATACAGGAAGAGAAAAACCATCCATTAAAACCACAAAGATATGTAAGGCAACTCTCATTCGTGGTCCCTAAACCTAACAACCATGAGGCTGAAATAATTAGAATATTTTTGCATCACTACTGATTTTGAATTTTTTAAAAAATTAGTTATGTATAGGAATCATCTCACAAATAAAATACTAACCTAAACATCTTATCCTTCAGCGTGGCAGAGAAGGGCCGCTGTACCAGCAGTCTCTGAGTGACTGCATGGAACAGAGTACCACCCCCCACCCTCATTCACATAGGACAGTAACGTAAATGAGAAATTTATGTTTACCAGACAAGTAAGATTTGGTGGTGGTTTGTGTTTAGAGGTAGTATGTGCAACTAGTATTCCTGACTCAGAACATGCAAAGAGAAATGATGTGCACCTTTTCTAGGCTTGAACTCTGGAGAGAACAGAGCCTACTGCTCCATAAGTCTGGGTCCTTGAGCAACTGTGCAAGAGTTCCTGCTCATGTCTTTGCAGCACAGTACTGTTATGTGAGCAAGATATGAGTTTCTATTATGTTATTATTATACATTCTGGGTTTATTGTTACAACTATTCGCCTATCCTAAATAGCAAGCAATGATTCTGGATAATCACTAGCTTTAGTTTTATATCTGCTCTAAGGTAATAAATACAGAAATGATGTTCATAAAAAGATGTGAAAAAAAGTTTAACGTGAGTTTTCAAAAATATTTGTATATAACCATTTTTATTTAATTAAAGTAAGATTTTCTACAATGCTTTCAAATTCTGTTTCTGAAAAAGCTAAAAAAATGCCATTTTTTCCATCATCCATAAGATAAAAATCAGTGTAAGCAGCAGACATTGTTATTGCTCTGATATTTTGTATTTCATGTTCTACTGAATTTCTCTAATTTAAAATTTCATACAAGAATTCTTTCCTTTTAGACTCTCCTTATATACTTATTTTGAGTTGAAGACAGCTCTACTCGCATAAACTTATTGCTTAATAATTAATCATACAAAAGGAAACTTTAGAATTCACCAAATAGATACACAGGAACAAAAAAAGAAAAAGGAACATCCCATTTTAGTGAAACACCTATAGTGAATTATGGAATAAAGCACTTTGAGTAGCAAAGTTTTTAAAAGTTGATATGCCCAGAAGAAGGCTGTTCTCTTTGATTATGCTCAGTGATGCATTTTCTAAGTTGTCTTCTTGATTTTATGTTACCTCTTCATTTCCTTCCTCTTTGGCATAGCTAGCATTACAGACACTGACGGTATTTGCAGTTGGGAAGAGCTGCAAATGACAGAGGTTATCAGAGATTGCATGCTGTTGAATGTGTGGGAATCTTAAGCAATGTTTAGAAAGCACTGGAGTAGGAAGAAAGCATATGCCACTATGTCCAATTCAAAATACTTCACAGTTTTTAATGTTGTGCTCTTTGTTTCATGCAGTATAGAAAAAATCTGAAGTTCCAAGTGCTGACTTTATTCTTCAGCACCCAGAAATTAATATTTCTGTGAAACAAGTACGTAAAAATAATGGATCACCCTACAAACTGGAACACGCCACATCAAACTTCTGCTTATACGTGGAAATCCTAATGCTGGTAAAAACAAAAGTTTCTCTCACATGGGTAGAATAATTTGATTACCCTTTAATCATTGCCCCAGCATTTTGGTAAAAACTATTTTTATTCTCTTAATAGTGTTTTCCTCGTTGAAAAGCAAAGTTTCATTTTTTCCCCTATGTTAAAATGACTATATTTTTAAAAAATCCATTATTACTTATTGGCAATATAAATAATTTTGTGCTTTTCGATGATGCTGATGTCATGTTCCAGTTGCTTCATCTCTTCTTCCAGCTTCTGCTTGCGGATCTTCTTTGGGATGGAGTCACTGAACACCAAGAGGGACTGAAACTCCTTATGCACCTCTTCCCAGTTCTTCTTCAGCCCCTGTAAATGGGAATGAGAACTCTAAATACGAAGGTAATTGCAAAAGTAACATAAATGGTTAAAAAATATATATAGTGTACTGGTGAAGAGAAATGTAAATAGGTAAAGGAAACTGATGAAAATAACTTTACAAAACGATATGTATTTATTGAGTACTTGGCTACAGTAACAGGAAATATTGTGCAGAGGCCAAATTCTGTCCTAGATTGTGTGCTCAGTTCCCAGAGGGAGTATTTATTTGCTCTGTTATGTTACTGTTACTTGTTTTTGCCATTAAATATGCATATGCAGAGTTACGAGTAGTATGAAATTAAGCTCATAGCAAATGCTTTGGTAAAAACAAGTGAGAATCGATGCCCCCCCTGCTCCCCGCAAGCAAGACATATTTTTGAATAGGAAATTATTTCTTATAAAAAATTTAGTTTTTTTCTTTAGGATTTTAGTTTTGAACCATTATCCCCATTCATCAAAAGACCTAATTTGGACTTGCATGGCACATTTGCTTATATTTGACTAAATGGAATTGTACAAAATGCCAAAATTCAATGTAACAAGAAATGATCCTTTAAGTATTTTTCAATATATTAGAAAGAACTCTTCATATAGTCAAGGGGTCTATACGTCCCATTAATGTATACCAGAAATGACTGAGATGTCATTAAATGTAAATGCATGCTAATTCAGTAATGTAGTTAATGTTTTATATTCTCAGAAGCTGACAAATTCAAAATTAGGGATCTCTAAGGAGTAATAAAGGTTATTTTCATCTGCCTAATCCCCATTTCTTATCACAGTGCACTAGAGGGTCTCATTGACAAAATGGGTTGAAACCTCTAATCGAATTTGAGCTATGAATTTTTGCAAAATTAACACTTTGTTATTCACTATGGGTACACAAATCACTTTATTTACACAAAAACAAAAAGTCAAACTGAAAGTAGAATTTAAAATATTGCCTTGAAAATATGGTCCTTGAAATCCATGGCTATATATTTAGGTGTAAGAGAAGACTAGAAGTTTCTTACATAATAACATCTTCATAATAAGCCCTCATAGTACAAATTTCATTTTGTAGAAACTTTTGGGGGATAATAACATTTCAGTGGTTTATTTCCATGCTTAGGTAAAAATGATGATAAGGATAGAGCACATTGTACAGACCAGGTTGACTGGGGAAAAGGGCAATAGATTTTGAGCCCTTATTGAGTGAGACTAGATGAAAGATTTAAGGAAAGGAAAAGAAAGAGGGAAAATATCCAGGTTACATTTTAAAAAGAGGGGGATGGGTTAGCACAGTTCTTCATGGTGTATGAGATGTATTCCAAAAAGATGTCCTCAGAAGAATTCTTTTTTCATAGCCTTTCATTATGAAATGAGAACTATGTTTCCACAGTGCTCCACAGGGGTGCCTACTGCAGAGAGGAAATCTATGCATTTATACACTTTCAAATATCAAAGGTTTTTCATAGCTACTTGAGTGATATTTCCACATTACTTGTGGTCACAGCAGCTACACTTTTTCTCTGTAGCCTTTATCTTTTAAAGGATAGTTTGCTTTATCTTCCAGTGTGTACAAAAACCTTTGGATCCAAGTCAACAGGCAGGGATGGGAACTAAATGTAACTAATATATTCTATTGACATAGCCTCTCTGCTGTTTTTAAGACTTATTTTTGTTACTTCATCTAAAAAATCTTTTATTCATTGCAGGAATAGTGATTTTCTTTTTTTCTTAATTGACCTCTCTCTCTTCTATTTTATTTTTTTTATTATTGTTAGTTTGGGAAAAGCTTCAGATAGGGAGAAGCAGTCATAAAATAAATAGGAAGTGCCTTCAGTGCCATGCTCCTCCTTCTCGTTGTGTCTCCCCCTCAACCCCCCGCTTTAGGCTTCCAGCCTCTGAGCTCGGCACTGGTGGGAGGAGAGAGAGGTTGGGGCATTTCTTCTTCCTCTCCCTTGACGTTACCTGGACCCTAGTTCTGGCTCACGTGTGTGTAAGGGCAACACTGTGCAGTGAGCCCTCTTCCAGGCTCCAGATCTTACCAGACTCTGGTAACACTGTTCCTTGCCTCTGCCCTTCTAGCCTAGGGTGGTGATGGATTCCCGCTGTCCTTAGTCCTGGGGTGCTACAGAGTTTTTTGTTGGCTCCTGTAGCCCTGCTTTCCTTCTGTAAATAGTTCTTCATAAATGCGCTTCAGAATCCTGGTTGGTGGTGCCTTGTATTTCCTGCTGGATCTCTGACTGACAGAGCTTCCTTTTGTTACTTCCTATGCACGTGTGAACCATGTCGCAGGGGAAGCCCTGGCCTACGACTTGGCCGATGTGGGTTTTAGTCCCTGTTTGGCTCCTTGATAATTTTGTGACAAGGGTAAGGGCAAATGTAAACCAAACTCTAAGTGTACTGACAGTAAAGAGTGCATTTGTCTTGCTCACAATAGTATCCCCCTGGGCTGGGTACAGTGCCTGTTCAAGTGAATGAATAGATAAATGAACAAAATTTAACATATTTGCATTTTATATCCTCATATGTCAAAGGAGAAGTGTGGAATGATTAGACTGGATAATCCTCTAAGTATAATGAGACTGTTATTTTATGAAGAATGAGCAGGATGTGGCCTATTCAGGCACATACAACTATGTTGTCATAGTGCCGTGTGCAACTCTTAATCATGGAGGGAAACATGACTCAGGACTTCTCAGGAGCAGAGCTGGTGGCTCTGTTACCATGGCAGCTATATTACCTGGCTAATAAGGCATGTAAGGAAGGGTCTGCTATTGTCCTGTCAAATCCGCAGTGACCATATTAGGCAACTGAGGGCTGCTTATCCACTAAGCTAAAAAGACACAGGACAGAAGAGCCTTTTCGTTCTGAGGGAAGTTCTTCCTCTCTTTTCCTGTTTTTTTGTTTGTTTGTTTTTTAAGTATAATATAACATTATATCAGTTTCAGGTGTACAACATAATGATTTGATATTTGTATACATTGTGAAATAATCAGCATGAGTCTAGTTACCATGTCACTGTACAAAGATACAAAATATTTTTTTCTTGTGATGAAGACTTTTAAGATTCACTCTTTTAGCCACTTTCAAATATGTGATACAATATTACTGACTATAGTCACCATGGTGCACATTATATCCTCAGACTTTTTTTATAAATGGAAGTTTGTATCTCTTGATTACCTTCACCCACTTCACCCACCTTCAACCTCATTCCCCTCTGGCAACCACCACTCTGTTCTCTGTGTTTATGAGTTTTGTTTTGTTTGTTTTGTTTTTCAGATTCCACGTATAAGTGAAATCATATAGTATGTCTTTTTCTGTGTGACTTATTTCACTTAGCATAACATACACACACACAGATATGCCACATCTTCCTCACCCATTCGTACATCAATGGGCACTTAGGTTGCTTCCATATCTTGGCTATTGAAAATAATGCTGCAGTGAACATGGGGGGACATATATAGATTCAAATTAATATCTTCATTCTCTTTGGATAAATACCCAGAAGTGGAATCACTGGATCATATGGTAGTTCTATTTTTAATTTTTGAGGAACCTCCATACTGTTTTCCATAGTGGCTGCAAGGGTTCCCTTTTCTTTACATCATCACCAACACTTGTTTTTTATTATCTTTTTGATAATAGCCATTATGACAGGTGTGAGGTGGTATTTCATTGTGGTTTTAATTTGAGCATCTTTTCATGTGCCAGTTGGCCATCTCTATCTCTTCTTTGGGAAAATATCTATTCAGATCCTCTGCCCATTTTTTAATTGGATTGTTTGGGGGTGTTTTGTTGTGGTAGTGGTGTTGAATTGTATGAGTTCTTTATATATTTTATATTTTGGATATATATATTATATATTTTGGATATTAACCTCTTATCAGATATATGATTTGCAAATATCTTCTCCCCTTCAGGAGGTTGCCTTTTCATTTTGTTGATGGCTTCCTTCCCTTTGCAGAAGCTTTCTAGTTTGATGTAGTCCCAGCTGTCCATTTTTGCTTTTGTCATCCTTGCCTTTAAGAGTCAGATCCCAAAAAAAACATTGCCAAGACTGATATCAAGGAGTTTGCCACCTATGTTTTCTTCTAGGAGTTTTATGGCTTCATTCTACATTCAAGTTTTTAATCGATCTTGAGTTAATTTTGCATATGGTGTAAGATAATGGTCCAGTTTCATTCTTTTGCATGTGGTTGTCCAGTTTTCCCAACACCCTTTTTGAAAAGACTCTTCTTTTCTTTTGTATATTCTTGCCTCTTTTGTCATAAATTAATTGACCATATATGCATGGGTTTATTTTGGGGCTCTCTATTCTGTTCCTTTGATCTATGTGTTTTCATGCCATTACCACACTATTTTTTTAATTACTGTATCTTAGTAATATAGTTTGAAATCAGGGAGGGTGATGCCTTCAACTTTGTTCTTCTTTCTCAAGATTGATTTGGCTATTTGGGATTTTTTGTGGTGCTACACAAGTTTTAGGATTGTTTGTTACATTTCTGTGAAAAATGCCATTGAAATTTTGATAGGGATTGCATTGAATCTGTAGATTGCTTTGAATAATACGGACATTTTAACAATATTAATTCTTTCAATCCATGAACAAGAGATATCTTTCAATTTAGTTTGCCTTCTTCAATTTCTTTCATCAATGTCTTCTAAGTTTTCGGTGCACAGATCTTTCACCTCCTTGGTTAAATTTATTCCTAGGTATTTTATTCTTTTTGTTGCAATTATAAATGGAATTATTTTCTTAATTTCTGTTTCTGATAGTTTGTTGTTAGTGTATAAAAACACAACAGATTTTTATGTATTGATTTTGTGACATGCAACTTTACTAAATTCGTTTACTAGTTCTAAGAGATGTTTGGTGGAGTCTTTATATATAAAATCATGTCATCCACAAATAGTGAGTTTTACTTCTTTCCCAGTTTGAATGGCTTTTATTTCTTTTCCCTGCCTAATTGCTCTGTCTAGCACTTCCAATACTATGTTGAATGAAAGTGGTGAGAGTGAGCATCCTTGTCTTGTTCCTGATCTTAAAGGAAAAGTTCTCAGTTTTTCACTGTTCAGCATGATGTTAGCTGTGGGCTTGCCATAGACAGCCTTTATTATGTTGATTTAATCATCAAACTGATTTTGAATTTTGTCAAATGCTTTTGCTGCATCTACTGAGATAATCATATGGTTTTTATCCTTCATTTTATTACTATGGTATATCAATGTTGATTGATTTATGGATATTGAACCGTTTTTTCATCCCTGGAATAAATCCCACTTGATCATGGTAAATGATACATTTAATGTATTGTTGAAATTGATCTGCTAATATTTTGTTGAGGATCTTTGTATGTATGTTCAACAGGGATATTTATGGCCTATGATTTGTGAGTGTATATGGTGTCCTTGACTGGTTTTTGTATCAGGGTAATGCTGGCCTTGTAAAATGAGTGTGGAAGCATTCCTTCATGTTCAATTTTTTGGAAGGGTTTGAGAAGGATAGATGTTAAATCTTTGAATATTTGGTAGAATTCATCAGTGAAGCCATCTGGCCCTGAACTTTTATTTGTTGGGAGTTTTCTGATTACTGATTACATCTACTTACTAGTACTTGGTCTATGCCGATTTTCTACTTCTTCATGATTCAGTCTTGGAAGATTGTATGTTTCTAGGAATTTATCCATGTCTTCTAGATTGTCCAAAATGTTGGCATAGAACTGTTCATAGTATTCTTTTATGATCATTTGTATTCCTATGTTCAGTTGTAACTTTTTCTCTTTCATTTCTGATTTTATTTAAACCCTCTCTCTTTTTTTCTTAGTGAGTCTAGCTAAAGGTTAATTTAGTTTATCTTTTTAGAGAACCAGCTCTTACTTTCATTGATCTTTTCTAGTCTTTTTAGTTTCCATTTCATTTATTTGCTCTCTGATCTTTATTATTTCCTTCCTTCTAGAACTTTAGGCTTCTTTTGTTCTTCTTTTTCTAGTTCCCTTAGGTATAAAGTTAGATGGTTTATTTGAAATTTTTATTGTTACAAAATCCCCTCTTAAACTGTCATCCCATAGATTTTGGTTGTATTTCTATTTTCATTTGAAAGTTGTTTTTTTTAAGATTTTATTTATTTATTTATTTATTTATTTAGGGAGAGAATGTGCAAGCAGGGGAGGGGCAAGGGAGAGGGAAAGAGAGAATCTCAAGCAGACTGCACTGAGCGGGGAGCCTGACATAGGGCTTGACCCCACGACCCTGAGATCATGACCTGAGCCAAAATCAAGAGTCAGACACTTAACTGACTGAGTCACCCAGGCACCCCCAAAGTATTTTTTGAATTCTCCTTTGATTTCTTCATTGAGCCATTAGTTGTTCATTAGCATATTGTTTAATCTCCATATGTTTGTGATTTTTCCAGTTTTCTTCTTGTAACTGATTTCTAGTTTTATACCATTATGGTTGGAAAAGATGCTTGATATGATTTCAATTTTTTAAATTTATTGAGACTTGTTTTGTGGCTTAACATACAATCTATCCTGGAGAATGTTCCATATACACTTGTGAAGAATGTGTATTCTGGGTTTGGATGGAATGTTCTGTATCTATCTGTTAAGTCCATCTGGTCTAATGTGTTGTTTAAGGCTGAGGTTTCCTTATTGATTTTCTGTCTGGATGATCTATCCACTGGTGTTTTTAGATATAAAAACCTGGCTTTCACAAAAGCTTGTACTTTCTATACATGGTAGAATCCAACTAGAGAGAGATGGGGTGGGAGAAGGAGAAAGAGAAAGCAAGAGAGAAAGAGAAAGAGAAAGAGAGAATGGACCACAAACCAGTACTCTGAAAATGACATCCAAAGTCCCACCTCCATGTCTGCCAGCCTTCTTGCCTACCTTCTTCCTTTCTTCTTTCCAGCACACCAATATTAAACCTCTGTGTTTATACTGGGCACTGAGTTAGGCATAAAGGAGACTGCTGTCAACAAAGAGACACAGTCTTTGCCCTTAGGTCACTGCTGCTGTCCAGAAGACCCTCTTACTGTGCAGTTTAAGGCCCAGCTACATCCTTCAGTGGATACTCTGTCTTAGAACCTGATAAAACTTATGATCTCTACATACACACAGCACACATATATTTACATATGTACATATATACATATCACCTCTCCTCCATTATATTACATTATCTATAGTAGAATTTTATCTTATGCCCTTTTTAATATCTTTGAGGCTTAGCATGATACTTAATGCAAAACAGTAATTTAGTAAATGTTTACTAATGATTATGACATTAATAAAATGTTAAGAATTTATGACAGCATACAAATCCATTTTCAACAGAAGTTAATGTGGAAAAAAATTTTTTTCCTGTTTTTAAAAGGTTGCTAGAAATGACTTTGTAGAAATCTTTCAAAATAACAAGAATAAAGTACTATTTTTACCTATAACAATATCATGAGTATAGAAGAGTACAATTAGGTGCTTAATAAATACTCTCTAAAAATATTTTAAATGCTTCAGATAAAAGTCTTGCATTAAACACATAAGGCCATATATCTTTATGCCTAGTTTATTCAAAATATGGAAAATACATAAAAAACCTAACACATGGTTAGTTTAAAATTTGGACATTTGGCTTATAGAAAAGAAAAAAAAAGTTGGTCTAGGAGCAGTTTCAATTATTCTAGAGCTCCATCTAGTGAAAAATATCTATTTTATGGATATTATTTTTGAAAAATTCAGGGACATGACAATGAAAATAAAAACACCTTTTGGCTTTACTTATGCATGTTCACTGAAGGAGAAGATGGGCCTCCTTACAACACTAACTACCCCAGGAAAAAACAGAATCTCACAAAATTGGAAACAAAATATGATTCAATAATTCCTAATTACAACTTTTGCTCTCCCCAAAGAGTCAGTGTGCTGCTCATAATCCTCACTATAACCCAAAGAGTGTGTTCTGATTTCAAAGTCAAGGTGCAGGCTTTAATATTCATTGATGATGGACCTTTCTTTCAGAGATGTTCGAAAGTACTACATATGAATATAAATTACAGAACGCTTACCTGCAGAACCGCCTCCCTTTCTTCATCGGGGAGCCTTTTCATAGCTGCTTTCCTAAGGTTTTCCTGGATATAATTATCATATTCTTCTTGGGCTTTCTTTACTTCCTCATTTCGCTTACATATATATTCTGGTGTGACACCATAATCCTTAAAAGGATTTTTCAGAAAAAAAAAAATCAATATCCTGAATGCAATCTTACATATGTATACACATCAACTAATGACTGAGAGACAAAGAAATGTTACAGATTTTTTTTGAGCACAGCCTTTGCTCCAAACATGGTAAATTGACAAAATTCAAGGTTTTTTTTTTTTTCTTTTCCCATTGGGAACTAGTTGATTCTCATCTTTTAAAACCATCTGAATTGTTATTGTGGCTACTTGTTTTTTCTCTTCTGAATGTTTCCAGCACCTGTTCCTGGCTGATGACTCAGTCCTTGTTTTACCTCTAAGAGTTGGTTTTTCTTTATTTCTTTTAGGTGCTTCAGCTTTTACCTTTAAATATCTTGAATATCTTGAGGTCCCTTTTGCAAGTTCTTGTTATATAAAAGAAGATAAATGCTTCTAAAGTATTGTAAAAACAAATACACAATGCACATCTGCTTTAAGTAAAAACTGACTTGGGACCCTAAGGTTGTTTTTGGAATGCCAAATCCATTTTGAAGGCTCCTGGGCTGCTTACAAGGATAGACAGTGAAGCAATCCGCTGTGGTTTTTTTCAGACTAGTAACTATGCTTGATACCACTGTATACAGAACAGAACTACTCCTTGTTTATTTTTCAAAAAATCATTTGAGAATTTACTTGATGCCAGGTATACTAGTGAATAAGAAAGGCAAGTTTCTGTCCTTATGGAATGTGCATTCTACAGTGAGAGCAACTCACCAAAAATAGAGTATAAAGTAATATATGTATCAGTGCTCCAAACTGAAACAAAGAATAGTAAGGGGGAAGAAATATTTTAGATAAATAAGGAGGTCAGTGAAAAACTCTCTGAGGAAGCAGCTGTCAATAGGTATGATAGTCATTACAATTATTCATAAACATTCTGGTTCTTCTCCTTGCAGGCAATTGATGGGACAACACTTTCCTGATCCCCTTGAAGTAAGATGTGATCATGTGACCTGACTTGCCCAAAGAGAGTGGAAGTAACCTCTGTCCCTTTTGGGTAGAAGCCTCAAGAATTAATGGATGACTTGCCATGTTCTTTTTCTGTTTAGTATAATGATGGGAAATATTTGGGATTGCCTGTGTCTTGGAATGAGGACAAGAAGCAGAACTTCCAACACTTAATGGACATGGAGCAATAAGCAAACAATAAAACTTAGTTGCTTTTAGCTACTGAAATCAGGGGTTATTTGTTACCAAAGCATCACTTAACCTATCCCGGCTGAAAAAAGGGACAGTTTGAAATCCTAGCTATAAATGTGTTCCAGCAAGTTGCAAAACACTCTACAAATAAATTCTAAGAGCACAGAATTCTGGTAAGTTAGTGCAGTGGTAAACAGTCCAATTGACTTCAGGAAACACTGAGGGCAAAACCTCATTACAGCTAAGTAGTTACTGATGCTCATAATGATGATTCTGAGTCATTGCAAAGAGATTAAATTTATATTTGGCATATTCTGTTTAATAAAGGGAATAACGTAATACATTTTAGGAAAAAGAACTATCTCGCACATGGGTAAAAGCTTCAGTGATCTGAAATATTCCCACATGCTGGATCACTGAGGGCTAATGCATACTCTTAATGTTAATAATTAATACTACCCACTCTCTATTGAACTTTTATTGGGTGCCAGATATCATGTCAAGTCCTTGATAGATTTTATATCATTTAATCCTCACTACAAACCTGTGATAAATCTAATAATGTGTGAAAGATCACAGAGTTAAGTGGTAGAGTCAGAATTTGAAACGATGTCTCACGCCCATTGCCGTGGACCTCAGGCAATCATCAGTGCTTCAGTTTGTTTTCCCAGATGGTTTCCCATGGCACAAATGGGCATACCATATTTTATGTGAAACTAAAACATGAGGTTCACTCACTTTTATAAAAATGGCATTGCCCTTTAAAGACTTGATCTCTCACTTACCATTAATAGGTTTTATCTTTTTTTAAACTTTATAATTTCCTTCACATGGGCCTTATACATTTTTAAAGATTTTATTTATTCATTTGAGAGAGAGAAAGAGAATGATCAGGGGAAGGACAGAGGAAGAAGCAGATTCCTGGCTGATCAGGGAGCGGTATGTGAGCTCAGTCCCAGAACCCTGAGATTATGACCAGAGCCGAAGGCAGTTGCCCAACTGACTGAGCCACTCAGGTGCTCTGGGTTTTAAAAACTTAACTGATCAGTGGAGAGTAAGTTGAGAAAGTCCTTCATGAACCCTGAATGCCTGGCCATCAACACCAAGAGTGTAAGAGGTGCAGAGTGTTTGCATGCTTGGTAAACGAGCACAGGAAGACTAACTGAATATTTTTCTGTCTCCATGATGAATACTCTCAATTTTCTGTTCAGGGCAGAAAATGTACTGAAGTGGACAGCTTAGGCAGAAGGCAGCCAGAAGAAGGGGCACAGTGTGGGCAAAGGAGAAGGGTTTCTACATCATAGTGGACAAATAATGGATTGGAAGTTGTTTTAAAGTGAAATTTCTGTTTTTCATCCCCTATGGGACAAGGGCTATGAGCAGCCTTCAGGACACAGGAGGAAGTATTCAGAGAAGCCTGAAATAACTTTATTGCCATGTGCTGCCAACCCCTAGATACTTGCTAAGGTCTCCCAAAAGTGTCTTAGCTTATTGAGTGACAAGAGTTTCCACAGAGAGTAAGTGGTGTACTCTGACAACAGCCTGAAGGTTCCCGTTTTGATTTTGAACAGGCACTGGATTCATCATGGTAGATCACTGGACTACCTTGATGCAAACCCCTCATACATCACTATTGCAATTTCTGTTTTTCCTCTTCCTTCCTTTCTTCCTTCTGTCCTTCCTTTCTTTTTTGCCACAGTTTATTATTATGGATTATTATTCTTTAGGATTTTGCATTCATATTTTACTATATGTGTTCCTAGCAGTTTTATACTCTGTAAGTATACAAAGTACAAAGCAAAATAGGTTTTATATAGGTATTTTTGTAAGCTTTTTAAATTTTAAAGATCTTCTATATTTAAACAAACTGAAGCTCCTATAGTTTTCAACAATGAAATTGTATGCCTATCTGATAAGCACCTTTTCAGATAGAGATGAAGGTCCCAAAAGGACTAGCTTATTGTACAGTACTTTCAAGGTCTGCTTTATTCCAAACACATTCAAGTTGAAATTGTAATGTGAATTATTTATACTACATTGATAGGATGGATGGCTCTAAAATTATTTTCCTCTTCATTTTTCCTCATTCTCTTATCAAGATACTGCAACCTAATGACTAAATCTTAGGACTTTCTGAAAGGTTATTTCTTAGTAATGACTCTTAGTCATGCCTATGCTGTTCACGAAATGTCCACCACACTAAAAATTAACATCTTTTGGAGAATGTTTGCTATAATTGTTAAATATATTAATAATTGAAATTAGGGGAAACAATTAGAGCTTTCCTCTACTGGACTACATGGTGTTATTCATTCCAAATTCTCCATAACTTCATCACATTAGATTTGGACCAAACACAGATTGCAGAGGAATAATTTGCCCTGTGAGAGCACTATTAATAATAATATGGATAATCACTGTGAACACCATACTTAAATTATTTGCATTTTAGGTCTCATTAATACATCACAAGGCTACCTTTTTATTGATGTATTTTGGAACTAGTCCTGAGGTTTCAAGATCATGCTTGTCTCCAGTTCTTTTGTCAACATAAATTGGCTTAGGCTTTCTAGCCACTCCCATAATGACATTGGCTGCATTTGTATTTATAAAATTTTTTTCACTCTGTAGTCCCATGACTGGATGATCAGTCCTCAGTGGCACAGGAGGCTTTTTGGGCTCATTCCGATCAAACCTTTTTTCTGTTAAACATAACATTTTCTTATTAATATTAAATTATAAACATTGCTATTCAGTACTACTTATAATATCTAGATATTTTACCAGTAGTATATTAGAGTTTTATTAATAATATATTCAAATATTTAGGGGTAAATCAGTAATCATAAATGCCAAAAATTAAGCACAAAATAATCAATTAATATGTTGAAGAAGAGTATACAAGTCTAAGGGAAGAAGATAAGCACCCCAATCATATGTTAGCTAACTAGTATATTTATACTAGCTATTGTGAAAGTATTATCTTATAAAGATATCAACAATAAATGTTTAGCTTTTTCACTGAAAAAAATTCAAAGAAACTTTACTCTTTTCTGAGTACTAGCAATATTACTGGTAATTGTTTCTTCAGAGAAAGTTACTGTAAAGTCACCAATAAGTCAAACTTGGTGAAAGTCCAAGAATTATGGAATTTTTTCACTAGAACTCTTATTATAAGGTATGAAGATCATGTAATAGCTTTGTCCCCAACATGCAGCTTAATGAATACAAATTACCAACACAGTTGAAGTTTCCAGTTCACTCCTCCCTGATTGCATCTCACTTCCTAAAATTACTACTATCCAGAATTGATCTTATTTATTTCTCTCTACCACATTCTCTTCATTAGCAGCAGATGAGACTGGCCATTTTTACACAGCTTCTTCAAGCTGACCATCCGTACTCATCTATTTTGATAGAGCCACATCAAAATGGTTTGTCAGAATGCTAAAATGTAAAATAATTACAATTTATTTCCAAAAACTGAAGGCAACAGCCATCTTAACAAAACCTTACCCAAATCTTACCTCCACACAATCCTAGGTACTTTGCCTTTATTCATTTCTGCACTGTTTGAACTTTTTATGAGTTTATGTAACTTTTTTTTTAAGATTTTATTTTATTTATTTGACAGAGAGAGAGACAGCGAGAGAGGGAATACAAGCAGGGGGAGTGAGAGAGGGAGAAGCAGGCTTCCCACCGAGCAGGGAGCCCGATATGGGGCTCGATCCCAGGACCCTGGGATCAGGACCTGAGCCAAAGGCAGATGCTTAACCGACTGAGCCACCCAGGTGCCCCTATCTATCTTTTATTAGCAGGAAAAATGATACTTATTATTAAATGTTTGAGGACTGGATTAACCTCTTGTTATGGGCTGAATTGTGTCCCTCCCAATATCCATATGTTGAAGCCCTAACACCAGTACCAAACACATTTCTGTTTAAGCCACTCAGTCAGTCTGTGATACTTTGTTATGGCAGCCCTAGCAAGTCAACACTACTGATATTAATTCTACACACCCAGAAATATTATAAAGGAGTTTTTGAATATTTACTTATTCATTAATTCATGCAATATGTTTTTGTTGAGAAATACTATGTCCCCAGTTAATGCTCTAGGAACTGCAGATACAGCAATGAACAAGAGACAAAGTCCCTGTTCTCATGGAGTTTACATTATAGGGGGAAAAGAAAAAATAAAATTTAATATGTAGAATATAATGTATATATTTGCTTGAACTATATGTGAAATTGTTTACTGTTTCTGATCTACCAAAATAGTATCTTCCGATTTAACGTATTAATGAGATGCTGTGAGCATTGTTAGAAATTGAATTTGGAGTTCCTATAAAGCCTGGAGCAGAGAATAAGGGCTCGTTGTTACAACCCAAATAGCTTCCTTCTACCAGATACACTCAACCAAATGAGGTTTGCAAAATCTGTTTGCCTGAAAAACTAGAGTTATCTATCCTCTAGATGTTCACATTGAAAATATTAAGAAGCCCAATTTAATTATGAATTGAAAGTGCATGCAAATGTAATATAAGGAAATCTGTAGCTTTAGAAATGTATATAAGAGGTAAAGCTGAATTCTTAGAAAATGAGGAAACAGTTTAGAAAGACTGATAATTCATTCTTAGGTGAGTAAGTAGAGTAAATTACAACCCTTGGTTGGTTTTGGTTATTCACTGGATGGTACCTAGAGCCAGCCCCGTCTTTACTTTATGTTACATCTATTTAAACATCATCTTTTCTCTCATCCCAGGTGTAGGGGTTGGCAATGGGGCGAGGCTTGGAAAATGGGATGAGGATTTCTTTTCACGAGGTATTTGATAGTTGTGATAATAAATCTGAAAACCAAATGGTTTTCTCAAGGTTATATCAAAATGGTAATGTCAACACAGCCTTGTTGTCACGCAGATGTTTTACCAATTGAATTTAGAGAAATATTCATGTATCTGTTAAGTATTGTTCAGTGTGCTAGCAAATTTCTGTCTTCAAAACTATTGTGTTCAAAATGACAGAATATTCAAAAAGAGACTCGAAGCAGCCTTGGTCTATATTACCTTTAACTCGTTGGATTGAACTCTTGCAACAACCGACCTTCTTGATTATTCATAAGGCCAATATAATTTTGTGTTTGTTTTGTCCTGTTATATAAGGGAAGAGATAGACTTCCCTTTTTCCTTATTTGATATTTAGGATTTATATAGTTTGGTAGTTGTTATGTAATGTATTTAACTCTAGAGAGGATACGTGAAAACCGAAGTAATATCACTGAAATAAACTAATCCCATTTTAAGATTTTCCAGTGTTCTCAAGTGGTTGTGGGTCACAAAATACCAAAACTCCCCTTGAGAAAGATACAAGAGAGACTTTTGAAAGACATGAATTTGTGCAAGAATATTGTATTTTTAGATGTGCTTTTTCCATCTCTCCTGATAATATCCTCATCCTTTGTCATGGCATTATGGGTTATGAGAGAGGATTGTGGGATATAAAATATTGCCATAAGGAGAAGTAGTTTCACTTTTGTCAAAAGGAACACCCTAGCTGGGCTTGAGATGTTGTATTATTTCCTTGATGGCAGGCAACATAAAAAGACTAACTTTGCAAAAGAGAGAGACTAATTTCCCTCTCCTCTCTATTGTCCTAAAACATCAGGAAAGACACACCCAGGATGGGAAGAAGCTGCTTCCATGCATACATACCTGTCCATTTTCCAGATAGCCTTCTTCCTAATCTTCCTAATATCTATATATTCTATGACCATGATTAATTACATCATTTGCAAGGCCTAGTACAAGATGACAACGTGGAGCTCCTTGACCAAAAATTAAGAGTTTCAAGAGGGCAAAAGCAGAGCATTAAACCAAGCTTCTAAGCACACAGCCCTGTGTGACTGCACACATGCCCAAGAAGCTGGCTTTGTCTCCCACTCATTTGTGAAGGCTCCTCCATTACACCTGACTCATTTACTGTCCTAATGGTCTTAGAGATCTGGGAGAGATAAAGCCCATGCCTGATAGTTGCTTCAACTGGTATAACAGTTGTGAGTCTCATCTCTTGCAGAAAAGACCAGACACAGTTTAGATGCCAGGTAATCTTCTCACTGGGGTTTCAAACTCAAGAAAATTGTTATTTGTTACTGAAATCATCTGGCTAGGGACTAAGATGGTGAGGCATGTGGGGCGGGAGGTAGGGCTTTATTGGATAGACCAAGATGTACTTCAGAAGCCTGCACCATCACAGGGAAAGTCTATTTTGGGGACAACTTAGTATTCTCCACCTTCTTTTTCTACTACATTCTCTACTTCTACTTCCTCCTAGAATTTCAGATTCTGTTAAATATGAGATAAACTTATCACCTGTGAACATTTAATATTCATTGGCAGTAAGATAATTCTAGTTAAATGATCTGTTAGCACTTTTAACATTAGAAAGAGTGATAAAACCTACTGGGTGGTAGAGTTTTTTCCTTTGAATGTTTCTTCAGGAAATCCTTTGGAGAAGGTACTTCAACTTTTGGTGGTCCCATAGTCTTCATTGCAGCTTTATGTTTTTGCAGGTTATCTTTTACAGATGTCTTAAAAATGGATATGTACCTAAAATTTAAAAAAAAATTGTAGCATTTGTATTTCCAGTAAAAGTGATTTTAAGTTTAAGAAAAGATACACTTTTTAAATATATATAAGTCTATATTCATTCAGAGACAGACATGAAGTGTAGTTAGACAATGGATATCTGAAGTAATTTAAAAAATATATTTGTGTTTAAATTTCCTATATTGCTATTTGTTTTCTACGTACCCCTTTGTTCATTCTTCCTCTTTTTATTTTGCCTTATTTTTTATTTTTGTTTGACTTTATTTTGTGGATGTTCTAAAGTTTACAATATACATGTTTAACTTACCAAAGCCTACCTTCAAGTAACATTGTACCATGTCACATACAGTATAAGAACCGTACAAAAGAATATTTGCATTTACCCCTCCCCCACCTTTGTCCCAGTGTTGTAATATATTTTATTTCAATGTGTTATAGAACCCATAATTCATTGTGATTATTTCCCTGTAAAAAGCTAACTATATTTTAAATAAATTTAAAGAGAAAAAAATAATTTCTAATATTTACTGTATATTTACCATTTCCAGTGTTATTTCATTGTGTAAATCCAAATTTCCAACTTATACCCTTTCTTGTGCATTGAGGACTTTGTAACTTCTGGCTTCTATTGTTTCTGATGAGATATCTGCTATCTTTCTTCTTCTTCTGTATGTGATGTTTCTTTTTTCTTTGGCTGCTTTTAAGATTTTTCTCTTTATTACTGGTTTTAAGAAATTTGATTGTAATATCTCTTGGTATGGTCTTCTTCTCCTCCTCCTTCTCTTCCTTCTTTTTCTTCTTTCTGCTTGGGGCTTATTGTGGTTCTTGGGTTTGTGGATTTGAAAATTTCATTAACTTTGTCAAAATTTTGGCCATTATTCAAATATGTTTTCTGTTTACCCATCTCTCTCCTCTCCTTCTGCGATTCTAATTATGCTTATGTTAGGCTCCTTGATGTTGTCTACAACTCTCTGATTCACTGTTTTCCTTTTCAGTTTTTTTCTTTCATTTTGTATTGTTCTATTACTATGTTTTCAAATTCAGTATTTTCTTCAGTGTTTTAGCTACTGTTAATACCATTCAGTAGACCATTTTCATTTTAGAAGTGGTACCCTTTATGTCTAGGAGTTAGATTTTGGTCTTTTTTTTATCCTTCCATTTCTCTTTGTATCTTTCTCATGTTTTCCTCTACCTTATTGAATACATGGAAAATATTTAAAATAGTTTTAATGCTCTTGTCTACCAATTCTCGCATTGATGTCATTTCTTTGTCTGTTTGTATTGACTGATTTTTCTTTTGGCTATGCATTATGTTTCTGGGTCCAGAAGAGCTTTGAGTCTAGTTCTAATTTGGCCCCACTACTGAGGCAATATACTATTGAGTGCACTACTCAATGCCCTATGCCTTAGGTGTTTCCACTCTGGCTGGTGGGAATTTGAACTTTATCTGGCTCTACTACCTTCTGTTGGTTATTTCTCTGGCCTCTGTGGTTTCATTACATACATGTACTGTTAACCAAAGACTTCAGAAAAATCTTCTTGCATATTTCTATAGCACACACTCTCTCTCTCTTTTTCTCTCTCTCCAGTCATCTCCTCTCTGATATTTTGTGTCTCTGTGCTGTGAATTCTACATGCCTTGACCTCCCCAGACTCTGAACTCTGTCTCCTTTAACTCAAGGGACTGCTGGGTCTTGTTTCAATTCCTCTTTCCTGGACTTTGGTCTGGAAACTCTCTAGGAAGAATGTTGGGCAATTGTGAGGCTTGTTTCTCTTCTCTTAGAGATGACTGCTCTGTGCTGCCTATTGTCCATTGTCTGAAAACTACTGTTTTACACTTTTCCCCCCTAGTGTTTTAGTTGTTTAAGGTGAGAGGGTAAATTCCATCCTTGATTGGAAGCAGAAGTTCAGCTATACCACTTTTAACAACTCGTATTATCTTCTTCTTACTTAATGTGGATAAATTTGTTTGGAGAAACATTGAATTACTTCTTGCTTTTAGGGACCTTTCCTCAATCTTGAATTCAATGGCTAGGGATCAATTATGGTCTAAACTGAATGAGTTTATTAGATACCTTCAGAAAATAATGTTCAATTCAAACTTGTACCATAAATTTCATATGCAAATTGGAACTGGCAGATATTATCTCTTGATTAATAAAATAGCTTTCCTTATGGTAAGAAAAGTGTGTATACTTTCACCTTTTTAATTTTCAATCTTGTGATTCAGTACATTATTTTGTGAACTGAAAGCTTAGCCATTTGTTACACAAAACAATACGTTTTATTCTATTTGAATAATTTTTTACTTTTCCAAACTACAAAAATAGAAAAAAATGATGAAACTAATATAATGGTATATGCCAATTATATCTCAATTTTAAAAAATGAATAAAAATCTAGTTTTCCTCTATCCCCTCAATCCATTTTCCAAATAAATTCAGTTTTCTATAGTTCTATCTATGTATGAAATATAACTTAATATAATCTCTTTACATATTAGTACATGTAAAGTTTACTTTCTTTTCTTTACAAGAGATGAAGAAAAGTGTTATTATTATGGAAGTCTGCAGAGACTGGACAGCCAAATTAAAAATCTGAATAAACAATTTCTAACACTGGTCATAAAACTCTGAGACCATATATGGTAACAATGGGAATTTTAACATAAAATTTCATTATACTAAAAATAAAGACTTTGGAATATTTTTTACATTCTTTGAATATAAGTTCATTTTAAAGGACTACTGCTTTACCCAATTGAATTATTGGCTACAAATTGTCAGCAAAGTAGATAAGAATCTCAGAAGAAAATGACCTCGTCATCTAAGATTTCATAATAGTCAAGATTGCTTAGCAAAGTTAGATATATAACTAGACTTTAAACAAAGAGATGTTACAAAGCCTCCAAAGATACAGACTTAACAGTATGGAAATTGAATAAAATGAAAGGTAGTCCAAGAAGAATGAGGAGCTCTGAGAATGAAATTCTGACTACATGTCACAGTTAATTAACATCAGTGAAAACCAGAAAGCCTTAAAAAAAAAAAACCAAAACAGCCAACTAGTCGGTGCTTACACATTAAATATTCCCATTTTTAAAAAGCATGCATCCAGAAACCCCACAACGGTGAGCCTGATGTCAATTTTGGAGAGCATCTAAAAACTTGTAGAGGAGCAATGATTAAACGAGCCATTTGGAGTTTCAGGTCACTGAAATGAACATAATTTTTTTTAAGATTATTTGACTCATAAATCAGGAAAATACCTTAGACATAATATACATCTTTATGTTAGCAAAGCCTCTTGTCCTTACTGATAAGGTAGAGAAATATGAATAGATTAATGGATGCATATGGATGACTCACTGAACCCTCAAAACCAGTATTGCTCTCAGCCTAGAAAGAGGTGTTTAGTAACCAAAGTACTTGCCCTGTTCAATGACAGATGGAGATAGAAAAGACATACTTATTAGATTTGCAAATGACACAAAGCTGGGAGGGATCGTTGAGAGAGTATATGAAAGATTCAAAGTTCAAAACTATCTTCATAGACAACGAGTTTAGATCAAAAACAGTTACATTAATTATAGGATGGTAGAGACCAACCTTGGTCATAATTCATGTGGAAATTTCAATGTGAGGCAACGGTGGGGAAATGAATGTCAAAATGCTAATGAGTGTATTAATAAAAGTACTGCATTGCAAGGAAAGAGATAATGGTACCATGGGCTGTTCGGTACATACCTGGAATATTACTTTAAACAAAAGGGAAAGACAGAATGATCAGAGACATTAAGTAACTGGAACCATCAATAGAAGGGTGACAAATTTGGTGAGCATCTTGGAAACCATCTCATGCATCGTGAGCCACTGAAATTTTGAAAATGGATTCATGGCTTCTCATTGACTTTAACACTGTTATATCTTGAGTCCCAGCTCATTAAGTTCAACTGCAAGAGGATGCCCTTCACCCCACTTTCATTACATATATCCATTTTCTAAGTTCTCATTTTGTTACCTGCATCTCTCATTAGGGTTTCCAAAAATATATGATTTTATTGTTAGTCTGCAGTATAAACTGCATACTATATATATATATAGTATATATATACTATATATAAACATATTAATGTTTATACTTCAGTGTCCCAAGGAGACTGTAACCTCTGAGGTGTGGGCGATCACATGCAGTTAGTTGCTGAGGAATCCACCTCTTTGTGAAAGCTGGACAGTCATCTTGCTAATTTTGCAAAGAGCTGCAGTGCGTTTCCTTGAAGCTGGGTTTGTAACTCAGTAATGCAAATAAGTCTTGTAGGTTAATACATTTCTTTCTTATGATTAATTCTTATTATTAGTAAGGGGATTGGGTCAGGGCAAGTAAATGTTAGTGTGGTGAGAGGAATGTGTTAAATGTGTTATCATGTTCTGTTTTTATATATTGGTGGTTTATATATTGGTGGTTTGATTTACTGGTGGTTTAATTATCAAATTAAAACCTTCTCAGGGTTGTTGCAGACAGTGGAAGTTGTTGTAGATAGTCTCACTCTAACAGAGAGAGTTCTTTGGCACTGCATTTGGATGTCTTCTATTCCCTTTACCATGAGTTCCTTTTTCCTACTTACACCTTCAGAGTCAACCAAGGAGTTTTTGCTGTCACTTGCAACATTTCCCAAGAACATTCTCCAAGGGCAATGTTATACACATAATAGCGGCTCAGTTATTGCTTGCCAAATGAATAAAGATTGTTCCTATGAAATTTCTTGAAAAAATTACTTAGATGCAGTAAAGGGGCATCTTTTTAATTTACCGGTGAACAAAACACCTATCTCATAAAATGTCTTAACATTCAAATTCACTACTCTATAGAAAATACAATCTACCAGTGGTTACAGAAAGGAGGAGCTTTATCTAGTACAACGTACAGGAATTTTTGACCAAAAATTCATTCAGCAATAGTTAATTTGAATCCTCCTCATAAACCCTGCAACTCCATCACATTTTACTTTACATTCCTCTTTCCATTCTCAACTAGAGTTTGAGAAGCTAATAGAAAATAATACGGGTACTACTCTTGTTAAAACCAGATACTCAGGCTTAAAATGGAAGGATGTGCCCACTTGTTTATGTCGTGCACCCCAAGTAATTACTAGTAAAAATAACTGGCCATTAGATCTGAAAGGAAAAGTAAAGATTATCTGAATCATTTAATTTGAAAATTTATTCATGATTCCCAAACCAATTCTTTTCAGAGCCTGCTGTTTAGGCTAGTGCTCTTTCAATGTGCTTTTGACTTGCATCAGCAAAAGAAGAAGGGTAAAAAAAAAAAAAAAAACAAACCCAGCAAATATTCGAGTACTAGGAGGAATGAGATTTTCTGCACGAGTTACCTTCTTTTCTCTTCATAGATTTACATAAGTTCTAAACCACTACACAGGAGATTAACTGAGATATTTACTTTGGGGTAACGTTTTGAAATGTGGGGAATTTAAGGGGTCCTAACACCTATGTAAGAATTTTAACTCAATTACATATTTTTGGGCCTCCATCCATCTACTCTTCCTTCTATCCAATTATCAGATCCAGAAAAGACCTTAGAACTTAATCTCTTTTGTTTTACCAATAAAAGACTGAGCTTCAGAACAAACAAGAATTTATTTTTGACAATAATCTCAGAAATAAATAACTACCATCCCTTTAGAGAGGGAGTGGTAGTGTAGTCAGAAGTAAAACAATGAACTCCTGAAACCAAATAACAAGTATCCTAACACAGGATAATATAAATGATTTTCTCTTTTCAACAGCAACAAAAAATTTCAGGCCATTTTGTATACCCCATCATGTATGAACAATTTATCTAATTACAAAACAATTACATACTGTATTAACAGGCGGCGGCTAACATAATAAAATAGTCCTCTCTCATCACGGATGGCCCTCTCTGTGAATTGTGAGATGCGAAATACCTAGATTTTGCAGCCACTTCCTTAAGAAGCTGACATCCAAGAGTACTTCACTGAGACAAAAATGTATGTTATTTCTTTTTCAACGTCATATGATGGTCAATCCTGAAATAGCATAATTAATCCTTATTCTTGTTTCAAGTGATAATCTTTGCTTACCCACATACCTAGGAGGCTGGGGAGGCTCCTTCGAGTCAATGGGTATGAGGTTATAAATGCTCTCAGAAAAGCAAGTTGTATCCATGGCCACCAAAATGACTCCTTAAAAATAATCAACTTTTTTCTCACTATACCAATATCTGTCTCTATCTTCACGGGGTTTCCCCTTTCCTTTCCTACTCTTGTCTTCTCACAGAACTAAGGTTTCTCTCTTTTACCTAATTTCCCTTTGACCTCTTCTTAGCAGTCCTCTCTTGGGAAGAAAATAAAACAGGCCTTCTAATTATCTCGGGGTTGCTTAGCGTTGTTGACGGCGTGGTTGCCTTGGAAACAGTTGCTAGGCTACGGGGAAGTGGACGGCAGCACGGTAAACTAGGTTTCCTCTCTTCCCCCTGCAGTTTTTCTGCTGGAGTTCAATATGGAAACCACTGTTTATATGTGCCTTTGGGAATAATGAGTTGAACGGCATCCCCTTAAAAATACTGCACGTTTCTGTCTCTGCATATTTGGAGAGAAACACACACTCCACCGGAGACAGTACGGAAGCGCCGCCGGTCTGTAGGCGTCACACAATAAGGCTCTTGTGCGCAGGCGCCAATCCCGGCGAGGGCGGGGCGAGCCTCTGGGGCCACGCTGAGCACGGCCTCTGTGGAGAGCAGGCGGGGTGGGGAGGAGCCTGAAGAACGAGGAGGATTCAGGTAGGTGGAGCGGGGACCGAGAGTCACGTGCCCGGTGTGCAGTTGCTCGGGCGTGGGTGTGGCGGCGGGCGCGCAGGCCTCCACCGACGCAGGCGCAGAGAGCGCTGCGCGGGGCTGGGGGCGGGTCAGGCCTAGCGAAGGTCTTGGGCCCGGGCCGTGGGCGAGCCGGGCTGAGCCCTTGAGGTGTGGCACTCCGTCCAGAGGCGGCACTGGCGGCTCCTGGACGCTCCTCCCCATTTTCTTTCCTTTCCCCCGTCTTCCCAGTGTGATTTTCTTGGTGAGTGATTTGAGGAGAAAGGGAAACTGTAGAAGCCGGTGCGTTCCCATTGCATGCCTTTCCGCACTTCGTTCCTGCCCCTGTCCGCTACTCCGTTGTAATCTCAACTATGTCTGCGCTCATTCTCCCCGCTGCTTCTGCCCCAGGCTGCCCGGAGCTCGCTGCGCGGCCCTGCTCGCCACCTGTGGGAGTGCGCGCCCACGCACGCCCCGCCGTCCGCCCCATCCACCTGTCGCGCCGCGGTCCTCCCCTCGACCGACCTCTTTCTCCCGTTCTCTGCTCTCAGCCCGGTGTACCTCCTGGTCGCGCCCCTCCTCTTAGGTCTTTATCCACAGACATGTGGACTTGCTGTTTTTTAAATAAGCAGGCTAAACCAGGAGAAGCCTCTTTAAATGGGCCCTTGAATTTTTGCCCATTTTTGTGGTGTCCCTTTTTGAAAATTGCCTTCTCGGGAGCGGTTTTGTTCCGTTTTGAACCGTCTGCTCTTCCCTAAACCTATTTAGGCACGTGTGACGGCTGAAAGAAATTCATACAGAAGGCTTTGCGATCCCGAGTCTCTAAAAGACATTTTGTCAATATTTGGGAAAGAGGATAGTTGGTCTGAACGAACCTTACGGAGGCCATTGCCCACAAGGAATAAAGATGGTCAGAGATAAGAACCAACACCAGTTTTGGTCATCTCACTGCCAGGGTGCTCGGTGGAGATAAAAACAGCATGATGGCTTCATTAACCTTTTAGTTCCGACTTAAAAGGCTCTGCAGAATGTGTGGGTCCTTCTCATTTGGGGCTCTTAGCGAATTTCATTGGATAAGAATAAATTTAGTTTTTTCTTATCCAGTTGATAAGATTTTTTAATTTTTATCCCAGGAGTTGAGCATTTTATTTCAGATGAGTGGCATGTTGGAGATGATGCTCCTGTTCTTCACATCAGATCTTCTACTTTTCAAAACATTGTTTATGTATATACCACTTTGTCGGTTTCCTTTCGCCTTTGGCTATTTTATGTTTTGGGTTTGGGGGGATATTTTGTTTGTTTTTGCTTAGCATGTATAGAGAAAAATTCTCTTTATACATGCCAAGATTTGAACTAAGGACTCATAATGATAATGCCATTAACCAAGTGGATGGCCATTGTTCAAAGCTTATACATTTTCTAATGAAGAAGAAACACTTTGGGACGCTTCATATTAAACAGTTCCTAAAAGAGCCAAAGGGCAAAGCATGATTTCTCCAATTAGTAAGTCCCAACCAACCTTAGCTAGTCTTGACTTTCTGTTACTGAATACAGTAATTTCACTGCTATCAGTATATTTATTGTGGCTTTAAAAATACCAATTTATGATCTCCTCACCATAGTACATTTAGTTTACAGTCGTTATGAAGTTGTTAAATCATTTAGAAAGGAACTTTTTTCCTTAGATACTTGGTCTGTAATTCTGCTTGCCTTTTGAAAGCATGTTTACAAAAAATATATTTCTAATTTTTATAATTCCCTCAAAATGGCAGTACTGTTCAAGGAAATGTCTATGTCCACTATGCCCACAGGGAATTAGTATTAGTATACTGACAGAGGTCATGAACTTTTTCTGTAAAGGGCTGGATAATAAATATTTTAGGCCTTTGCAGGCCAAATGGTTTTGGTCAAAACTGCTCAACTCTACTGTTGTGGCTCAAGAGCAGCCAAAGACAATACAAAACAGATGAACAAATAAATAAGCAAAGTTGTGTTCCCATGAAACTTAATTTACAAAAAAGGTGGTTATAATTTTGCACAGATTTGGCCTGTGGGTTATAGTTTGCACAGACCCCTGCTATAAATGGTTTGTACATACAAGTTAGAGTTTTTTTGCTAAAGATTAATTCTAATTTACTTAGATGAATAAAATGAGGTTAGGTGGGAATATAAAAAAGACAATTTTCTAGGAAGAAAAATAACCCTGTATAAGAGATATTCTTTATAATAATATATTTTTAAGTTATAGAATTAAAAAGGGTACTTAAAAAGTCTTTTGGATTAAATATTCAAGACCATTAGGGTATCTAACAGCAAAAGGCTAGCAACAGGAAAGGCTTAATCAGCTTTGGTACTAAGATAGGGGCAAAGATGAGTGATGAACTTGTAAATTCTACTTTTGATTTAAGATCTCTCTGATTACAACATGACACTGGAGTGTGTGGTCTTTCCATCTTGCTATTTCCAGGGAGGTAATTGCTGACTGACCTAAAGGCGTGTTGGGAGGATTTTTGCTTAACAGTCCAGAGCAGCAGAACTTTACCTCCCCCTGGCTAGTTTATGTCCTAGGAAATTTGCGTTTTTATTATGTATTGGAAAACAATTTATTTCTGTAAAAATACAGTCATTTTTAAGAATTTAAAAAAATATATCAGGATGCCTTCATAAGATAATGGACTAGATTTAGTCATTCTTCTGAGAAATTTAGATTGCATTAATATAGGGTGACAAGCATAATCATGGCATAAATGTTTTCAGAAGTTCACTGGACCACAGCCAGTTCTCATCATGAAATAATTTTTAAAGTGCTATGACTTATGTTTTATTTTGGAATAGTATGAAACAAATACTTTAAATGGGTGCCAAATGCTAAATCATCCTGACTAAATAGGATTTGGATAATTTCCCAGAGGAATTGGAAACTAGGTAATTTTATGATGGAATTGAAAAAATTCTTCTAGACCATTTTGGAAGTAAAAATTGATAACAGGTATGACTTTAGTTGATTAGCAATCATCTAGTGGTCTCCTTAGGAAAACATCACTGTAAATAGGTTGCTGAAAATTAGTATGAATTTCTGGTTTAAAAATGTAAGTTTATTAGCATTCATAGGAAATAATTTAAAAGTGATTTAAAAAGTGATTTCTTTTTTTTTCTTGAATTCATTATTCAGTTTTGATCAGCTTGCCAAAGTAAAATTGTTAAATTTTGTGCTTTGAAATCAAAGAGTACTTGAATTATTTTGTACATGTAGACATTCTGTTTTTGTTTTTTAAAGTTCTTGCTGTGAAACCAACAGGCTTTTCATTTGTCTGTTTGAAGGACAAGTGTCTATTACTTCTAAAAAGTATCCAGTGGAATTCGTGGATCAAAAAACCCCATTATAAGTGAGCAGTAGGAAAACCTATTTAAAAAGTATTAATGTATAATGGAGTTGTGTAGATCTTCCATCCTCTGAGGAATTAGAGAGTATGACTAAAGTGTTTTCATGAAGAACCCGGCTCTACAAAAAACACTTTAGAACACTGATACAGTAAAACCTGAGTACTTTATGGCCAAGAGATTTGGTCTTTAAGTACAGCTTTTGTTTTCTGACTCCTCGACTTCCATTTAATTTGAAAAAGTTTTGTCCTTTGGCTGAAGAAAAATTGCCTATTCATGACCACTAGACTGAAATACATACTAAAATATAAATAATTGAAAAAGCGTAATAACATGGCTTTGAATCGTAAAGGAAAATGATATGCAGTTGATCCTCACTTTTCACAGGTTCCATATTTGTGAATTCTACTCACTAAAACTTATTTATAAGCCCAAAATAATACTTGCCAAACTTGTGCATTCATTCATGGACACACGCACAGTGGTGAAAAATTGGAGTCTCCTGATGTACGTGCTCCAAGCTGTGGTCAAGCAAGATGATGCTCTGCCTTGCTGTTTGAGCTCAAATACTGTAAACAAAAATGTCCTTCTCCCATTCTAGTTAGTGCCACATTTTTTTTTTAATTTTTTTTATTCTTATGTTAATCCCCATACATTACATCATTAGTTCTAGATGAAGTGTTCCATGATTCATTGTTCGTGCACAACACCCAGTGCTCCATGCAGAACGTGCCCTCCTCAATACCCACCACCAGGCCAACCCATCCTCCCACCCCCCTCCCCTCTAGAACCCTCAGTTTGTTTTTCAGAGTCCATCTTCTCTCATGGTTCGTCCACCCCTCCGATTTCCCCCGCTTCATTCCTCCCCTCCCGCTACCTTCTTCTTCTTCTTTTTTTTTCTTAACATATCTTGCATTATTTGTCTCAGAGGTACAGATCTGAGACTCAACAGTCCTGCACAATTCACAGCGCTTAACAGAGCATGTACCCTCCCCAGTGTCTATCACCCAGTCACCCCATCCCTCCCACCCCACCCCCCACTCCAACAACACTCAGTTTGTTTCCTGCAATTAAGAATTCCTCATATCAATGAGATCATATGATACATGTCTTTCTCTGTTTGACTTATTTCGTTAGTGCCACATTTTTCACATTTTTGTACCTCTAGTTGGTGGTTTTGCCGTTTAAAATGGCCCCGAGGTTGCTGATGTGCTGCCTAGT